AAAAAGAAAAGCAGAAACAATGAAAAAGGAGGTATTCGTTGGGTTGTAGAGTCATTAATGAGTGATCTTTCAGAACAAACAGCAAGAAGTCTTTATGGTTATATCGCATCATTGTTATATGATGTTAGTGCAGTAAAGCAATTATCATATGATCCATCTTGGTTAGTTTTATTTGCAAAAAGTTTATTAAAAACAGTAGTAGATCCAGGATGTCTAAAAGCAGGATTTGAAGTTGTTTCAATGATATATAAAGATCTACCAGAAGATGGGGAAATTGTTTCAATATTAGCAGAAACATGTATTAAAGCATTATTTGCAGCAAATAAATCATTTGAAAATACAATAATAGTATTAACACTAGCTATTAATATGTCGGTTAATGCAACATTTTCACTTCATTTATTAGAATGGAATTTAGAAGAAGCTTTAGATAGAATATTATTAAGTGGACAGGATGAATTAGTTGAAAAAGGATGTGCATTATTAATGAACATTATTGTTGATCCAGATGCAGCAGATTTATTATGTGATCATTATATATTATTATCAGTTGATGTTATTGAAAAGTATAAAAACACTGTTATTGGAGCAAGAGCAATGGGGTGTGTTGCTGCATTTGCCAAATCAGAACATGGAAGAGAAATATTAATTGAAACACAATTGTTTCATTGTATTCCAAATATTCTTGGAGAATATACACTTGAATCATTGATTGATAAAACGTTTATTGCATTAAATTATTTTACATCAACACAAAAAGATATTGGATTACTTGTATCATCAGGTGTATTACAAGGAATAACAAGAATAGTATCAAATTTTAAAGATACAGACGTATTAGAGAAAGCATTAAATATTGTAGTTACTATTGCTAAGACAGAAGATTGGCATGAATTTTTATTTGCTACTAAAGTAGCTCAAAGTATTGTAGAAACAGTTGTTTTATCAGCAACAACAGAATTAGAAATATGTTGTAAAGGATTAAGTGCATTAATTAATATAGCAGCAGTAAAAGAATCGAGAGAAAAATTATTTTTATTAGGAGCATCAGATGCAATAATCTATGCAATTGAACAAAATAAAGATGACGAAGATTTAGTTAAACTTGGATTTGGGGCAATAGCAAATATGTCATTATGTGAAGAAGTTAAAGAACAAACAAGAGAAAATGGATTTTTAGATAGAATTAGACCATTTTTAGAAATACATAGAGATCAATTAGTATTATTAAAAATAATTACATTTTTATATTGTTCATGTCATAACAATGAATTAAATAAAAAGGTTATTAAAAAAAATGTTGGTGATATATTAAAAAAAATGCTTACTCAATATCGTGGAATTACTCAATTTGAACAAAAAATTAATTTTATATTAAAGAAATAGATTCAATCCATTTATATTATTTTATATTATTATTTTTTTCTTTCTTTCATTTGAAAAAGAACTTAAAATATTTATTTGAAAAGTAATAATGAATGGTGGAATTACTAACTTATTTAATTATGGTAATATTTATTTTGTATCAACCCCTTTTAAAGAGTTTCAAGGGTCTAATGATTCTATCACAAAAACTACATCATTTGATATATTAAATAATAAAAATATAAAAACACAAGAAAAATGTCATGAAAATCAAAAAATAATGAAAGAGGAAATTCAAGAAGATAATAATATTCAAAAAGAATCAAAAGATGAATTAGAAGTTAAGAAAGAAAAAAAAGAAATACAAAAAGAAGAAAATATAAACAAAAGAAAAGGAATTGATATGAAAAATATTGAAAATGAAAAATATTTTATTGGAATTCCAATAATAGAGAAATCCTTTTTTCATAAATTTTATGAACCATTAAAAGAATGGACTTCTAAACAAACATTTAAATTAATTTATGATAGTAATTCTGATGGTTTAACTGCTTGTTCATTTAATACGTTACTAAAAGGGAAAGAAAATATTTTATTAATGGTGTTTACAAAAAAAGGATATGTCTTTGGCTCTTTTCATTCAATTATTCCAAATGATAAGTCAATGATCTCTAATGACTTAAATCATTTTTTATTTTCTTTATCTTCTCCTTATCTTACTGAACCAACAAAATTTATTGGTAATGGTATTCTTCATCTTCATGATGACTCAGAAGATAATAATGTGATTGATATTTTCTCAGGTTATTCTATTTATTCCAATAACACTGTTATGGTTTATTCTTCTTTTGATGCTACTTATCACTCTGACTGTAAAAATTTCGTTGGTAAATCAAATTCTAAAGTTATTATAACAAAGTTTATTGCTTTTGAATGTATGTAAATTGATACAAATTAAAAGGTTTATTGATTTTTTTATTGAATTTAGAAAATATTCTTTAATTTAATAAGAAAAAACTCAACTATCTCTTCTCTTTTTAAGGAATTAATTAAAAAAACTTTCAAAATGATATAAAGAATTATTTTAATTGTTTAAAAAGAGATTTAAAATTAGATTAAACATAATATTAATTAAAAAAAAATTACAATTAATAATAAAAATTTCTATAATCTTAGTAAAGGAGCAATAAATTAATAAAAAATTAAAAATTAAAAAAAATAATAAAACAATAAAAAAAAAAAGAAAATCAATTTATTTTGTAATACATCCTAATGGCATCACCTCGACTTAGTTTTAGACATAGTTTAACATCACCATTTTCTAATACTGTTATTGACATTCCATTAGTACTATTTGTTTCTAGTAAAGATGAAATGAATGAAGTAATGAAAAAATTACCACCATCATCAATGTTGTTTTGGGTACCTCATCCAACATTAAATGAACCATCAAAGTTTGTTATTTAAATAACGTTAAAGACATTGTTTATTAATAAAAATAGAGGAATTATTATGACCATTAAATATTATCAAGTTGTATTACACTATTCATTTCTAAATGAGTTTGTTACAACAAATGTCTACAAAATGAAAACTCAAAAAAAAGAAATGGAATTAGTCATTACTAGTGAAGTTAAAAACACAACAATTAATAATATTAAAACACAGTTCACCCAATTCGTTTTGTATCAACAACTCATTCAATTTCTTTTAAAAACTAAATATTTTAATGATTCTTCTTCTTCTCCTCAACAAAAAATCATTTTCCCTGATTTAAAAACACCTCGATTACTTTGTAATAATATTAATGGATTAAAGGTAATTGAATTAGATCAAGAAAATGGTGTTTTAACATTTATAAATGAAAATTCAGAAATTGTTAATCGTTTTGATACTATTGAAGAATCAACTTGTGAATTAAAAAAGTACTTAGTTACTACACAACATATTAATCAAATACAATATAATAATAAAACTGAACAATTATTAGAAGAAATTAATCAACTATGTTATTCTGAACAATTTGATCATAATAAAATATTTGATTCAATATCTTCTTACTTTAAATTTGTATGTAAATTAAATGATATAAGAGTAGAAGAGGCATTAGAAACATTAATTATTAGACTATTTTCTTGTTCTCCAAATGATAAAATTAAAGTATGCAAATTACTTTTTGATCATATTCGATGTCATCCATTATGTTCTTGGGTCTATATGTTATTAGGTCATTTGATAAATAATTATAAAGATGACGTTCAATCACTATTAGCAAAAGAAAAGATTACATCATCTCTCTCTCAAAAACTTCATCAAATCCATGAATCTCTCTTTGGAGGATATCTTTTTGATGAACAAGCTCTCCCTTCAATTAAAACGATTGTCTTAAATACTTCTGATCCAAAAAATTCTTCTCCTGATAAGTCATGCTCATTAACACAAAATAAACGAAAATCTATCTTCTTCTCAAATTCAATGTTTCAAGAAGATGACACTTTCTTAAGAAGACAAAGCAGAAGTTTTCAACGTGCTATCACTCCAAAACATTTTGGTAAACCTTTTAAAGGAGGGTTTCCACAACAACCAACAGAAGAATTGTCAGGATCAAAAAACGAAATAAGAACAGAGGCTAAACGATTAGCACAAGCATTTTTTAATGAAAGTCTTCCTTATATTCTTAAAGTAGATCAAACAGGAGTTACACTACAAAAACAAAAAATAATAGTTAAAGATAATGAAGATGAAGAAATATATAAAGAAGAATTAAAAGAACTAAAAGAATTAATGAAGATTATTGGAATGAGTATTGTTGTAGAAAGGAATAGAGATTTAATGAAACAAATTTGTCATCTTCTAGTCACTAGTGTATCATTAAAATTTAAACGAACATTTTCTACAGTTGTTATTAATCTTGAAGAATATTTTAAACATGTATTTATTTCAAGTCAAGAAAATATTATTGTTAGTATATTAATATCATGGGAAAATGTTATACAAGAATCTAAATCACTTAGAGCATATTTTTTTTGTATTTTATTAAAAATCTTTAGAGTTTACATGAAAATAGCTAGATATCAAACAATTGGATTAGGATTATCAGAAAGAGTTTTAATGCCGATTTCTTTATGTCTTCAACGTCCACAAACAGAATGTTATTTAGATTCTCAGTATGACCTTTTAATAGAAGTTGGTCGTTGTTTTAAGATTTTTAATAATAAATGTTTAAATGAAACACACTCAGTTCATGCAATTCAACTAATGTATTCACCTCATAATATTGGTTTATTAGCTATAACGTGTATTAAAAGATATCTTATAGATTGGGATAAAGAAACATCAAATTATCAAGAAAATGTTAACAAATTACTTGGAAAGAAACGAGAATATACCATTCTTTATTTCCAAGTTCTTGTTCGTTTATTACAAGTCTTTGACCAAAAATCTCTTCCAAATAATCAAAATTATACATCAGTTCAAGAAAATTTAGAAAATCTAGTAGTCCCACCAAATGGATTTCTTTTTAGATTTTTAAGAGATGAAACTGTTTTATTTGGAGTTGATGCTAAAGTTACTGCACTCTCTTTTTTTACATATTTCTTTAGTGTAAATTCACCAATTATCAGAAGAAAGTCTGTTGTTAATGAATATATTCGATTTGCATTTAAATTATTTATTAAAATATATTACAAAGACACTTGGACTGACGATGATATTAGAGTATTAATTGGTGCTTTGAAAATGTTAAATGGACTTGCAGCACATAAAACTGAGTTTAGTAGACAAACCTTTTTTAGATTAGGTTTATTCTCATTATTATTACACGAAGTTATGTTAGAGTTTAATATGAGTTGGAACAATTCTCATGAAGAAGAAACTGGGATTTTTGACGCTTTTAAACAACAACCAAAAAAACAATTAGAACAAACAAAAACACAAACAAAACGTATTGCTGGAAGAAAGAATATGAAAGTTAATATTCCTAGACTTTGTGTAAATGCTAGTCCAACTAAACCACTTTCTCCTCGTAAATTTGAAACAAAGCCTGAAAGTGATATTAAAAAGGATGGAATCACTCAATTATCACCTCGAATTATATTGGAAACTACTAAAAAACAAACACATACTTCCTTTTCTGAATTTAAATCACCAGAGACAAGTGAAACTCCTGGGAAAGGAAGTGTTGAAACACCACGTTCTTCCCCCCAAATGGAAAAACGAGTTGATGATTCAATAAAAACACCAAAAACTTATTTAAAACGTAAAGTTGGAACTATTTCAATGTCTGAACTTGGTTCAAACTCAAGTTCTCCAGATATTCATAAAGGAAATATGGGTATTGATTTTAATAAAGACAACTCAAGCGATACTCCTCTTTCTAGTAGTCCATTAAAAAAGCATGTTTATGGAAGTAAAACTCCTATGAGACTTTCTTTCCTAAAAACTAATCCAATTCAAGTCAACCAATTATCGCCATCTCCTATGGGGTCTAGTGCGTCTAGTCTTAGAAATTCATTAGAAGTTGGAACTGAATTAAGTTTAGGAAGATTAGAGAATGAAGTTCATGAAGACTCAACTGAATCAAAAAAACCACGAAAAGAGAATATGAGGTTTTGTGTTAATACATCAGACAAACGTCAAGAAAATGACAGAAATGAAATAACAAAAGTTCCAACAACACATATCGCTTCTGTTTCACCACTGATACCCTGTGTTACTGAAGATAAAATATTAAGGGAAGAGTCTAAGAAGAGAGATTCAATTAATCCAACATCCAGTAATACAAAGATAGTTGAAACAACAAATGAAGAACCTCAATCAAGTGCTTCAAGTGATAAACCAAAGGATACAAAAGTTAAAGAAGAAACAAAAAAAGAAGTTACACCTCCTGCTCGAAAAAAGAGACCACCACCACTTAAAATGGTTCCAGCTATTAGAAAATCTATTGATAACTCAGGAGCTGGAACATCATCAGTATCAGGAAGTACAACTAATAGTTCTAATGGATTATTGACACAAGTAGAACAGAAATTTAAGGAAACAGGGAAGTTACATCTTATTCTTGATAAGATGATGTTTGAAAAAACAAATACAGAAGTAGTAAAAGTTGATGAACATTCGTATGAAAATATGAGAAAAACAAGAAGAATTTATGTTAATAGTGATGTACATAAAGAGATATTAATGTTATTGTTTAATTTAATAGTGATGGAGAATGGAGTATTAGATCCATTATATACTGACCAATTTCCTGATTTAAAAGGTATGAAAGATGCATTATTTATTTTGTCATGTCATTTAGATCGTAGTTCAAATAGAGAAATAGCAAAACAATTGTTCTGTCAAGAATCATTAAATCCAGGAATTCAAGAGTTATTGAGGTTATTATCACAACAATTTTTTGATATGTCAAAGTACTCTATTATTAAAGTAATTGGAGAGGGAGCATATGGAGTATGTTCTGAAGCATTAGTAAAA